CCAGTCCTGGTTCTTGGTCTCCTTCACCATGGAATGTTATCTTCTGGCCATCTTTCATGCCTTTGTCAATATGAACTTCTAGAATCTTCTTCTCTCGAACTATCTTTCTTCCGTTGCAGCTTTTACATCTATCCTTAGGACTGATCCGTTCCCCATGGCCCTGACACTCCATGCACACAGACTGAATTTGCTGCACCATTCCAGGTCCTATCTGATGAATTTTTATTTGCATTCCAGTGCCTCGGCAGTTGGGACAGCACTCTACTGCTCCTTTCTTACCACCTCGGCCTAAATAGTTTAAAAGAAAGATTATATGCAAATTTAGTAGCAAATATAGTAATGAATGTTTTAATAGGACAGTTCCTAAAATACTATACTTTTCTTAATATTTTCAAGGCCTGATGGAATGCTGCCCTAAAAATGTACAACTCAGACTTTTTTGATAAGGAGCCATCTCAGAATCTTGAATATGTTCCCAAAGCAAAATTCTTAGAACTACTTCATCTGTTAGATGAAACCATTTTAATGAGTTTATTTTCTTTAGAAGGTACCATATTCCAACAAATAACTTGTACTTATAAAAAGAGAATACCAAATTAATTTGATTCCGAACTGCATTTAAAATATACACATAAGGAGCTGGCCAGTGAGCTCAGCTGATTAGAGTGCAGCCTTGTAACACCCGGGTCATGGGTTCAGATACCCACACAGACCAGCTGCCACAAATAAATAAATTCACTTATATTTATTTAAAAAAAAAAAAGCTGGGGCCGGCCCATGGCTCACTCGGGTGAGTGCGGTGCTGATAACACTAAGGCCACGGGTTCGGATCCCATATAGGGATGGCCGGTTAGCTCACTGGGTGAGCGTGGTGCTGACAACACCAAGTCAAGGATTAAGATCCCCTTACCGGTCATCTTTAAAAAAAAAAAAAAAAAAAAGCTGGCTGTAGGATCCTTGTACTGGCCAGTGCCATTAAAAAACAAACAAACAAAAACAACAAAAACAAACAAAAACAACAAAACCTGGGCCGGCCCATGGCTCACTCGGTAGAGTGCGGTGCTGATAACACCAAGGCCCCGGGTTCGGATCCTATATAGGGATGGCCGGTTTGCTCACTGGCTGAGNAAAAAAAAAAAAAAAAAAAAAAGCTGGCTGTAGGATCCTTGTACTGGCCAGTGCCATTAAAAAACAAACAAACAAAAACAACAAAAACAAACAAAAACAACAAAACCTGGGCCGGCCCATGGCTCACTCGGTAGAGTGCAGTGCTGATAACACCAAGGCCCCGGGTTCAGATCCTATATAGGGATGGCCGGTTTGCTCACTGGCTGAGCATGGTGCTGACAACACCAAGTCAAGGGTTGAGATCCCCTTACCAGTCATCTTTTAAAAAAAAAAAAAAAAAAAAAGCTGGCTGTAGGATCCTTGTACTGGCCAGTGCCATTAAAAAACAAACAAACAAAAACAACAAAACCTGGGCCGGCCCGTGGCTCACTCGGTAGAGTGCGGTGCTGATAACACCAAGGCCCCGGGTTCGGATCCTATATAGGGATGGCCGGTTTGCTCACTGGCTGAGCATGGTGCTGACAACACCAAGTCAAGGGTTGAGATCCCCTTACCAGTCATCTTTAAAAAAAAAAAAAACCTAAAACACACACAAATAAAAGAAAGTGCTGATATTTTGCTAGTATTTCTCTCGGTAGTAGGTTCAGTTTGTTTTCTTCACACTGTACTCTTAAAGATTTTTAAAATTATTTATTTATCATTTTTGAGCAGTTGGCTGGTATGGGGATCCCAACCCTTGACTTTCAAAATTTAGACAGTGTACATTTATCAGTTTTATATATCCAGAAAGTCTTCGGCTTCATTTTGTTATTGCATGAGAGATGTTAAAATACCATACCTTCACATTTGTCACAAATCACATTCTTCTGCAGAGCCAGTTTTCTTGTTGCACCATTATATAAATCTTCTAAGGTTACTGACAGCTGATGTACAACATTTTTACCTAGAACAAAATACTGACCATTAAAAATGTGTCTAAGATACTGCCATCTCATTTGTGTTAAAGGTACTATAAAAAATGGTAAAGGATAGGGGCTGGCCTGGTGGCGCACTGCTACAGTGCACCGCATGGGAGCGCAGGCGGCGCTCCCGCTGAGGGTTCGGATCCCACATACAGACCGGTTCCCGCTCACTGGCTGAGCAAGGGGCGGGCGCAGCACCGAGGGTTGCGATCCCGTTGCCGGTCCCGGTCCGGTACGGGCGCGACACTGAGGGTTGCGGTCTGTTGCCGGACACACACACACACACACACACACACACAAAAAAAAAGGTAAAGGATAATGACAGATGAGCCTCACAGAGTACATCTGTTGGGCATCTACAACAATAACAGAATGTTCATCACATTATCACATATGATCCTCAAATGGTGATGTAATCACAGATGAGGGAAACTGGGTCAGAGATTAAGTAATTTGCCTAAGGACATAGATGTGGCTCTTAGAAATATGGCAATCAAAAACATTACCTACAAAAGACCTTGAGAAAACCAATGTTATTTAAATAAGCATATTTCACAATAATCCAAACATGCATTTCTGTCCCAATATATTCTTTGAAGCTTTCACTTGGTTTGGTATTGAGCAACATGGCCAATTACTTCATCCAAAAATTCTTTAGCACAATAGATTCACACTAATTAAGACTGGTTGGTGAAGTTGATGTATTTATTGAATCACCACAGAAAAATATCAATTCCTACTTATTCCTGCTTCAGTGGGAATGGCTCATTTACTGCTGGGCCCACAACGGTTATTTTAAAGGCTAAATTTCATACTCTATTAAGACTAAAGAACTGTATCTTTATTTTTGTTTTAAATTAATATAAATTTAAAGAGCCACACATGCCTGGTGGCTACAAAGGAGCGCTACCATGCTTCACTTAAATCTTAGAACAGGAAGTGGAAGTTTGAGATCACATAAGCATACTGAGAATAAATAAAGTCATGTGCCAACCCTTAAGTTAATAAGTTCTTAGCTAGTGATCCTTCCATGAGGACTTTATCCACCACAAAAACCTTACACCTAACTGAAAAAAGTTCTCAAGTCTCCTTTCTGCACAATGGGCCTAATGAACATTCTTTCTGCACGCTGAAAGCTGCCTTTCTCACTTTAACTTTATATAGAACAAAAACAAAGCTTTTGGGATTTGTTAAAGCACGTTTTCCAAAAAGTGACTTCTCAATGATCTAAGCCATACAGGGGAGTTTGCACTGACAACTTTTAGGTCAATTCTTTACTTAAAAATAAATTTAAATACAAAGAAAAAAGAGGGAAAAAAAAGAAGAAAAAAAAAATCACCATTACTCTTCTATGGGACAAATCATCCTAACAAGTTACTAATAAGCAAGTGATTTGGATTACAGATTTTATTTTTAAGGTAAATTCCTTAAAAATAAATAAAGATAATCCTTTACTTCATTGAAGTTCTTTCAAGAAAGACTGAGTGAACAATTTGCAAAGCCTTTCTGAACCTTAAAAAAGCTCAAAGTAGGGGCTGGCCCGTGGTTCACTTGAGAGAGTGAGGTGCTGATAACACCAAGGCTACGGGTTTGGATCCCTATATAGGGACGGCTGGTTAGCTTACTTGGGAGAATGTGGTGCTGACAACACCAAGTCAAGGGTTAAGATTCCCTTACTGCTCATCTTTAAAAAAAAAACAAACAAAAACGACTCAAAGTAACATTTCATAGCTTGCCCGTTTATTCTAAAACTGGGTCTACTCATCAGCTCTTGTTTGTCTGTATAAAACTATACTGGGCACAAAGTGATACTGACTTCTCTTCACTGGAACATGGTACTCCTATGAACAAGATTTCTACAGTCTGTAGGCCACTTTTCTGCTAAATATTAAATGCAGTCAACCCTCAATACTCACGGGTTAGGTTCCATGAGTTAATCAACTGAGGATTGAAAATACTCTGGATCAAAAATATTCAGAAAAAAAAGAAAAAATTATAACACACACACACGCACACACAAAAACAGTATGACTATGTAGTATCTATATCGTATGAGGCATTGTGAGTAATATAGATATGATTTAAAGCATACAGGAATAAGTGCATATATTATATGAAATACTGCACCATTTTACATAAGGGACTTGAGCATCTGCAGATTTTGGTATCTGAGGGGGGTCCTGGGACTAATTCCCAGCGGATACTGACTATATTTTGATATAATAAAGCTGAAGCAAGATTAAACAGGTAGCAGGCTATTTGGAGGCAATGAATCTATTTTCAGGCCTGGCTCTCCTGCTGTTGGCTTGCTATAAGTGCTTGAGGAAGTAACACACTCTTGATTGAAAAAGGCCACTGTACTCACCACTAGGTTTCTTGGGGTGGGGGTGGAAAAAAGGTCAAATAAGATCTGTAAAAAGGGCTTTGAAAATTACGTTTCTATACTTTGTTCCCTTAATTAGTGTTCGATAACCTATTAAGTTGGATATATCCAAGAGCTTTAGAAATACATTCCTTACCACTTGACTGGCCTATTTTTAGGTACATCAAAATCTCATTTCTAATAACTACACCATAAATTGAACAGAGGCAGCCTATGGTCAGTTTGTAACATTATACCAACATACAAACAACAATTTAAAATGGGTGAATTCTCAGGAATTTGCTTTGACCAACCGCTACTTTAATTTGCTGTGTGTGGACTAGATTATTCTTACCTCTCCTTTCTCTCTGCATCCTTCCTCCTCCTCCAAAAAACATATCAAAGATGTCCATGGGGGAGCCAAAACCGCCACCGGCTCCACCCTCTTTAATTGCCTGCTCTCCTCCTTTGTCATATAATTCCCTTTTCTTTGCATCAGAAAGAACTTCGTAAGCTTGAGAAATCTGTTTAAACTGTTTAGGGGGAATAAATTTCATTTTTTAAAAAACAATTGTTGCAAAGCATAGCCATCATATTATATACTCTCAACTTCAGGCAGTAATAGAAAAACACTATACATCTGACAAAGAACTATTCAGATATGTTTAAAAGTATACTTGCCTTCTCTCCTTCATTTGGATTCTTATCAGGGTGGTACTTCAAGGCCAGTTTCCTATAAGCCTTCTTCAATTCTTCCTGGGTGGCATTGGGTTTAACCCCCAAAACATCATAGTAAGTGGTTTCTTTCACCATTTTCTACAGCCTGAAACGAGAAAATGTAATTTTAGCCGGCTTTCAACTGGTGGTTTTAATTAGTAAAATCAGAGCTAAGGCAGAGCAATCTGTTCTTTGCCAAATCCACCTCTCTGAAACTTCACAAAAAAGGTAACAATTCCTGCGATAACTCAGCTAAAATTCTAGTAGACTAAATATAAGCTATTAAAAATTATCAGGGAATAATTCTGAAGCCTCTTTCTAGCAGCTGGTTCCCCCTCTCCCACACCAAAGCTTCCAAACATGACATACACGATCATATGGATTCTTCCTGTTCCCCTTCCCCACAGATGCTAACAGCAGGAATCAAAAGGAGCATTAATAGCTTCAGTCCATTGGCTGCTACGTTATCACTGTCTTTGGTAAATCCGAGAAACGCCACACACTCGCCAGAAAAAAAGACATTAGGGCACACGGGGCTGGGGGAGTGGTTTGTTACCCTGGTTATGAACACCAGCTGCAGAGAGGAAGCCCCCCGCCCCAATCCTTAGGAGTGTTTTTCAACCCCACAGCTTACAGCTTCTCCGCTTTCAAGGCCGAGCCCCTCGCGCTTTCAGGCCGGCGTCGTTTACACGTCGTTAGGCTCCCCCCGTACTTGGCACGGACCATTAAGGTTTCCTTTCTTTCTCCCTCCCACACTGGATCGAAGAGGTGGAAGGGGAAGCCCGGCCCTCAACAAAGAGAGGGAGGGGAGACAGAAGCGAAAGCCGCAGCCTCCGCCCGGCTCCTCCCGCAGCCCCTCGCCCCTGCCTCCCCGTGCGCGTGCGCGCAGGGTCTTCCACCCCGAGCGAGCGCGGGCGGAGGAGAAGCCTAAGGCGGCAGTTCCTGGGCGATCTCGGGCGGCGTGGGGACCGGGGGAGGACCAGGCAGGCTCACGGGCTCGCTGGCTGCCCGCCGGGGACGGGATGCCGGAGCACCACACCGGCCCACCAAAAAGGGAATCGCGGTTCCGGGAACCAACAACCCTCCCGCCCACGCGGAGCCAACTGCCTCCCCACCGGGGCTCCATCCGGCGTCCCGGCGCCGCCAATGGCGCCAGCCGGGGGAGAAGAGGAAGCGCGAGGGCTGAAACTCACCGGTGAACGGGCTCAGGCCCGTGAGGGAGAGCGGGAAGGAGCGCGAAGCTGTGCGCAGCTCGGGAACTGCCGCTCTTCCTCCTCTCACCGACCGTTCTGGAAAGTTCCGCCCGGAGCGCCGCAGCCCTCGTCTTTTGTAGCCGAGCCCGGGCGCGTCACCCGCAGGAAGTTCCGCCCCTGCCGGCCGCTGCCACCGCCCCGCGGTTACCTGGGCAACGGCGCGGGGGCGCGGGGGCTGGGAGGGGCTGTGCCGAAGGGCCTTGTGGGGGTGGGTGCAAGCCCGGGTTCCCGAAACTCATGGAAGCTTCTGGAGCCCCTTTCTCCACCCAGCTGCCCGAGACTGTGGAAGTCTCCGTCCGGAGCGGGCATGCTCAGGAGCGGTGCAATTCAGAGGCAACTCAGGGTTCCCAATCAGTGGGGCGGACGCCGCTCGCCAGGGCAGAGAAGGCTCGGGTACGGGGCCCCAGGCGGGAGCTGTGTCCATAAGGGGAACCTCTCTGGTCAAAGTCCTACGCCCCGCGCCGTCTTCTCCCCATTCTCTGTCGGCGTCTCTGATTTTGTTGGTTCTCAGCTCTGAGGTTCTGGGAAACCCGCTGAAGCAGAAATGCCCAGCTGGGCGGGCCTAGCCCCCAGACCGATCTCACAGGCCTTGGATCTTACTGTGCCTCACGCGCAGTCCAAAGCCGCCTAATCCGCCGAATTGCCAAGATGTTAGAGCTCTTTGTGTAAGTCCAGGTCCCTAGACACTCGTTATCTGCCTCGGACCTTGCTGGCTTCCACAGATTGAGCACAGAGAGTCTGGGATTGAACTAAACAGGGAAACGTCTGGAATGCCTTGATGCAAGGTGAAGGCCGTGGACTCTTCCCTGGTCAGGCTTTCACCCAGTTTGGCTACAGAGTAGCAGCAAGAGAGGCTAACCGAAAGAAATTATTATAATTATTTGACTTAACTTTTAAGTCCCGCCAGTCAGTGAACCTGGATCTACAGTCTGTAAAGTGAGGCTTTGGGCTTTCAGATGTTGGGAAGGGGACATAAAGGGAAATGGGGTCTGTCGTCTTTATCCAATACACAACAAACACATCAGTATCTAGCACCGAAAAAACTGCAGATGCAAAGGTGAAAATGAGGACTGGCCGGTTACTCACTTAGGAAAGCTGGTAACGCCAATGTCATGGGTTCTGATCCCCGTATAGGCCAACCTCCCCTCGTCGCCCCCCTCCCAAAAGTAATTGCAAGCAAAGTTGAAAATGCCCAGTTCACATCATTTAGACGTTATAGGGGGAGCCAACCCAGACAACGAGCAACAAGGGAAACCAAGTAGAGGTCATCAGGGGAGAGGCTCCCATATTAACCTGATGGATAAGGTGAAATTTTCCTAGGAAATTGGCAGTTGAGCTGAGTTTTGAAGACGGAAGAAAAGCATTTCCAGCAGTGGGCAAAGCACAGGGGGTGGTTACGGTGTGGGAGAATATGACGTTTTTAGGAAATTGCACGTAATTGGATATAGCCAGAGCTAAGGGAGCTGGATGGCTGGAGATGAGACTTCAAAGCTACTTCGGAAACGTTTTCGCTTTTTGGTACACCTTGCTGAGGGTATCCTGGAAGCAGTCCCATGCTACCTTTTCAGCCGTAAGCATATCGAACTTTATCCTGGAAGCAGTCCCATGCTACCTTTTCAGCCGTGTCGCTTTCATTAATTTAGACTCTGCATTCCAGTCACACACACCTATCTCCAGTTTCCCAAAGGCTCTTTTTCTTCATTTTTCTGCTTTTGCTTTGGCTGACAAAGAGCAAATTTCCCCAATCTAAGGTATTACCATCTTAAGCATCACCTCTGGTATAAAGTTTTTTTGTTAAGCCAACACTTACTAAAAGTGTAACATTGCCAGGCCGTGTACTAGGCCTTGGTGATTGATATAAAAATCATGTAAGTCATGGTCCCTGCCGGCAAGTAGCTCACCACATAGTGAGGGAACCAGAAAGGTAAAAAAGAACAGGTTGTGTGATAAATGCTAAAAAAAGGCAGAGTGTCGGGTGCTGAGTATCCCAGACAGAGAGACCAGCAAGTGTGAAAGCATGGATAATATAGAACAATGTACAAACAATAAATAATAAATATTGTTCATGTAGTTGTAGTCCTAAAGTTACTGCTTTACTAGGGCCGACCCGTGGCTCACTCGGGAGAGTGCGGTGCTGATAACACCAAGGCCACAGGTTCGGATCCTATATTGGGATGGCCGGTTAGCTCACTGGCTGAGTGTGGTGCTGACAACACCAAGCCAAGGGTTGAGATCCCCTTACTGGTCATCTTAAAAAAAAAAAAAAAAAGTTACTACTTTACTGTAATATGAATCGTGCATTTGTGAATCTAACAGCGGTTATGCATATTATCAAATCACTTTAAACAAGTTTCCACAATAAATATTACCATGTCTAGTGTTTCTTAAATATTGCCATGCTTAATGTTTTTTTTCTGCCTCAGGAATCCAACTGAAATTCCCACATCTTTGAGAAATATGCAAGTGTGATACAATCATGAAGATTTCTCCTTGAGACTGCCAACATAAGATTATAAAATCTGATATTCAAAATACTTTTAAAATCTGCAAGCTCATGTATTGAGTAATTCTTTACTAATAATAAAGTAAGAGCCATAAAAGTTGGTTTAAATAAAGAAAAATATGTACTTGTTTGCTTGTATGTACATGGAATATTTCTGGAAGGTACACGGAGATGTGTAATACGGTGTCTGTGGGAAGAGCTAGGTGCTGTGTAGAGGTGGATGGGAGGGAGACATTTTACAATGCACATTTTCGTAACTTGAATTTCTAATGTACTTATTAAAAAAATTAAACTTTCTTTTTTTCTTTTTTCTTTTTTTTTTGGTGGCTGGCCATAACAGGGATTGAACCCTGGACCTTGGTGTTATCAGCACCACGCTGTAACCACCTGAACTAATTGGCCCGCTCCCTAAACTTTAAAAAGTATAAAATTCCCTCCTCTTTATTCAGGCTTTGAACTAGTAACTTGTCACTGTAACAGCAAAGTTAGGTGATTCTTAATTTCCTTAAAAAACATCAATAGGTATGTTCTTCGTGACATTTCTTTTCTTTATAGAACCTATTTCAGTGGTGCTGAAAATATATACTGTTGAATATTCTGGCTTTTCAGTAATAGAAGTTAACACTTTTACGATGCATTCTTATTTACATAAAATACAAAAATATTGGCAATAAGTTTGTATGTGATCTTTTTTGTGTAGAAATGGGATCATAGGGCCGGCCCGGTGGCGCACTGCTACAGTGCGCTGCTTGGGAGTGCAGCGGCGCTCCCGCCGAGGGTTCAGATCCCACATACAGACCGGCCGCTCACTGGCTGAGCGAGGTGCGGGCGCAGCACCGAGGGTTGCGATCCCGTTGCTGGTCCTGGTCGGATACGGGGTACGGGCGTGACACTGAGGGTTGCGATCCGTTGCCAGTCACGAAAAAAAAAGACAAAAAGGAAAAAAAAAAAAAAAAAAAGAAATGGGATCATATTATGCATGCTGTTTGCAGCTTGCCCTTTTCAGTTTATCGTCATCTTACCATGTCAAGATAAATAAATCTACCTTGTTATTTTTAATGACTTCATAGTATAAAGCATGTAGGCACCAAAATTTAACCATTCCCCTATTAATGAACATTTCAGCAATTTCCAATGTTTTACCAACAGTTCTGCAAAGAAATTCTCAAACACGGCTTTGGGTATTCATGCAAGTGTTTTTGTAGGATGGGCACCTAGAATTGAAATTGCTGGTTCAACATGAATGAAAGGTTTTTTTTTTTTGTCTTTTTTCGTGTCCGGCAACGGATCGCAACCCTCAGTGTCGCGCCCGTACCGGACTGGCAACGGGATCGCAACCCTCGGCACTTGTGTCCGCACCCTGCTCAGCCAGTGAGCGGGAACCGGTCTGTATGTGGGATCCGAACCCTCGGCGGGAGCGCCACCGCGCTCCCAAGCGGCGCACTGTAGCAGTGCGCCACCGGGCCGGCCCTGAATGAAAGTTTTAAATCGTAATATAACTTCACATACTGGTTTGTAGTGCTTCCAGCAGTGTGTGAGTGGGCCTTGCCAAAACAAGATTCTGTCTTTTTTTCTTATTTGTTAAATCTTTGCCAATCTTAGAGATAAAAAGTGATATCTTACTGTTTTGATTTGAGGTTCATTAGTAGTAAGGTTAACCATCTTTTAAATGTTTAATGACTCTTCTGTCAACTGTCCATTCGTGTTATTTGACCATTTTTCTATGGTGTAACTCCATTATTTTTATGATATATAACAGCACTTTTATATTAGGAATAGTAGATGTTAGTCTATGATGTATTGCAATTATTTAATGTATTGTTAGCTTTTCACTTACTATCTGCTATATTCATTTTTTCGCCATATAAAAGTTTAAATTTTTATGTAGATAAGTTTTGACCTTTTCTTTTTCTCCCCTCCTTTCCCATCCCCCTCATCCTTCATTTGTAATATTTAGAAAGCCTTCACCAATCCAACATTATAGATGTATTCCTCCAGGTTTTCTTCTAGTCCCTTTAGGTTCCATTTTAAACTTAAATATTTGTTGCAGCTAGAATTTATTTTGGTATAATGGCTGAAGATTATTTGTAAGTAATGGAGCTTTATTTCTCTCCAAATGGTGAGTTAGTTTGTCTAAAACTATTTATTTTAATAATTTGTTTTACCTGACTAATGTGAAATGCCACTTTTAATGTACAGTAAATTTCCATTAAAATATATTTTATTGTATGGGAGGTCTAGTTTCCCTCATTGTTCCTTCTTATTAGAATGGTCTTGCATTTTCTTAGTATGTTTATTCTTCCAACTGAATTCAAGAATATTTATGGCAGAGGGCTGGCTGGTTAGTTCAGTTGGTTAGAGCATGGTGCTGATAACACCAGGGTCCAAGGTTCAATTCCTGTACTGGCCAACTGCCCCCCCCCCCAATGTTGCTGGCAGATTCCCCCAAAATTCCACTGTAATTTTGATTGTGATCACAGTGATTTTATATATCAGTTTGGGGGGAATTATCATGTTCATAATGTTGAGTCCTCCCACCCAAGAACATATAAGTGTACATTCACTTTCTTCGTTGTGTTTTATAGTTTTGATTTGGTTTTTACACCAGCTCCAGGGCTGGGCAGTTAGCTCACTCAGAGCATGGTGCCGATAACACTAAGGTCTAAGAGTTTAGATCCCTGTAATGGCCAGCTGTCAAAAATAAAAAATAGAAAAACCTAAGTCCTGATCATTTCTTAAATTTGTTACTAGGCATTGTTTTTTGGTTGCTATCGTGAATGGTTTCTTTTCTTATTATATTTTATTTCGGTGGGATATCTGTAACTCTCAGTAACCGTATGGCCAGGTCACAAGTGTCTATGGAGGTAGCTGGAGATGGCTGGAAGCATGGTAGGAACCAACACATAAGAGTTTGGGCACTATGCTATGAAGTTTGAATTTTATTTTGAAACCTCTTGAGAGACCGTGGAAGGTATTAGGGGTGGGGTGATATAACCTCTAACAGCAGATTTTTTTTTTTGGAGCACCTGTCAGGTGTTGTGCTAAATTCTCTACAAACGCTGCCATATTTTAATCCTCACAGTAACTCTTGATTTACAGAAACCCTTGTTTTACAGATAATTTGATCATATTCACATTTTACAGTGATCACTTAGGTGCTAAAGTGAAGGATGGATTCTTTGGAGATTTTATTTTATTTTATTTTTTTGTGGCTGGCCAGTATGGGGATCTGAACTCTCAACCTTGGTGTTACAACACTGCACTCTAACCAACTGAGCTAACCGGCCAAGCCCCTTAGGAGGTTTTTATAGTGAGAGATCAGATCAGAAGTGATGGGGCCTAAACAGTAGAAATGGAGAGGAAGGAAATATAAATATAGGGGTGGAATCTGCAGGTTATGGTGACTGGATGCAGAGGTGAGGGAGAAGGATTTCTGGCTTGAGTAACAGGATGGTTGAGGATGCCCTTCCTGAGATGTGGAGCCCAGAAGGAAGAGGAGGAGGAGGAGGAAGACGCAATGGTTTGGGCAGAATTGGGTGGGGGAAAAGATGAGTTCAGTTTTGGATACGTAGAACTACGGCTATACTTTTCAGCATGGTCTGAATGTTGTGTTTGTTCAAAATTCGTACGTTTAACTCCTAACCCCCAAGGAGACAGTTTTAGGAGGTGGGGCCTTTGGGAGGTGATTAGGTCATGGGATTAGTGCCCTTATAAAAGAAGCCCAAGGGAGAGCTCATGTGTCCTTGCCACCATGTGAAGACACAGCTCTGTATGTAAATGAGACACCAAATCTGCTGGTGCTTTGATCTTGGATTTCCCAGCCTCCAGAACTGTGAGAAATAAATTTGTGGTGTTTATAAGCTACCCAGCCAATGATATTTTGTTATAGCATATAGACTAAGACACCCCGATTCATAGCCAGTTGGTCAGAAGTACAGGAGGCACTGGACTTTTGGTTGTTGTCTGTAGTTGGGGTAGTCTTGTGGGTCTGAGCCCTTAACCTGTGGGATCTGCACTAACTCCAGGTAATTAGTGTCAGAATTAAATTGTAAGAGACGGTTGGTGTCTGCAGAGAATTAGAGAGCTGCTTGGTGTAAAAACCTTCCCACTACATTTGGTGTTAGAAGTGTTATTGAGTAGAGAAACGGTTTTCCTTTTAGACAGGGATTTTTATCTGTTTTGTTTTATGATGTATCCCAAACATTTAGAACACTGCATAGCACAGAGTAGGTACTCAATAAATGTTTATCGAATGGCTGACTGACTGAGTGAATATACATTGTGCTAATTTTTATGTTAGGCACTGGGTATATAGTTGTGAAAAAGCAGAGATGGTTCCTACTCCCATAGAATGTCCAGCCTAGCACTACAGTCCAGTGGCTTTCTTAAAAACATCAGAATGCCTAATTGCTGAGTCCAGAGTAGCATGAGCACTTTTCAGATAATTTTGCTTTTACTGTTTTTTTTTTTTTTTTTAATTCTAAGAAAAGGGTGTGGGGGTAGGAAGAGTAATGCATTTTGTTTAGTCTCTCTAAGTTAAAAGTCCACAATTTTTCCCAATGTAAAGACATAATAGTGTTCTCTTTAAAGCTCTAGTCCTGGTAGAGAGCTGAAAAAGGTCATGGGGTATATTTGGTTTACTTTTTCTTCCTTTTTTTTTAAACCTGAAGGAAGATGGTTGTACATACTATTGAAGAAAGGATGTACAGTAAACATATTTATTGCTGTGTTTTTGTAAATTGTGGAATCCTTTGTCTATGAGATCCTGACCTATTTCTTGAGGTCCTTTGTATGCAGTTTGTTGATATGAATATTCACATTGCTGAAACTCTTTTCTTAAGAAAAGGAAAAAAGAGGAGCTTAAATTGAGTGTATTTAAAGATTTTGTGCTTGTTCAGCACACTTCAAATGATGTGTCAGCTACTATTCTTTGTCTCACCCTGTTCTCATCCTGGCAGTCACACAATCAAGGGAGACTCCAAGACTGGGGATATACCTGCAAAGTGGAATGAAGAATTAAGGAAGAATAATGCTGCACAGGGGTGAAACTGAACAAAATGACTTTTAATATCCCTTCCAAATCTCAAACTCTTTTTTTTTTTTTCCCTTTTTTGTCTTTTTTACTGACC